ATGAAGGGCGGCTTGATTATCACAGTAAAGACGAGTAGGTTCAGGAACTGGGACGCCAAGGTCTCGGAGTAACGTGCGAAGCCAAATGATTTCACTAATAGTGGTAGCCATGGCACGATACTCGGCTTCGGCAGAAGATCGGGCTACGACTTGTTGTTTTTTCGTACGCCAGGAGACAGCGGCACCGCCGAGGCAAATGATGTAACCTGTAGTGGACCGCCTAGTAAGAAGACATCCCCCCCAATCGGCGTCACAGTAAGCACGTAACGAGAGGGGGTTGGCGGTGGGAAAGAAAAGGCCCTGACCAGGTGAGCGCTTCAGATAGCGAAGGACTCGATGAGCGGCAATTACATGTTCCTGCTTAGGATTACCCACAAATTGACACAAGAAGTTGACTGCATACTGAATGTCGGGTCTGGTGACTGTTAGGTAGAGAAGACGACCAATAAGGCGGCGATAGGGCTCTGGATCGGCACATGGAGTCTCGGCCAAAGCAAGCTTGTGATGTTGCTCGATGGGGAAAGCACTAGGACGGCTATCAGTGAGACCACTATCAGAAAGAATATCTAGAGTGTATTTCCGCTGGCTGAGAACCACGCCACCTGGAGAGCGTGCAACTTCGATGCCAAGGAAGTATTTGAGGGGTCCGAGGTCTTTGATGCTGAACTCAGTATCGAGTCTTGACTTAACATAGGCAATGAATTCATCATTATCTCCTGTCAAAATGATATCATCAACATAGATGAGGACGAGAACTAGAGAACTTCCCTTAGTGGCTGTAAACAACGAGTAATCGGCGTGGGACTGTTGAAATCCCAGTTGGAGAAGAAATGTGGTGAATTTTGCATGCCAGTTGCGAGAGGCTTGGCGGAGGCCATAGAGTGACCGGCGGAGTCGACAAACTCGCGTATCCCCTGGGTGACTGAATCCTTGGGGAACTTTCATGTAAACTTCTTCTTGGAGATCACCATGGAGAAATGCATTGTTGACATCAAGTTGGTGGAGGCTCCAATGGCGAGCCACGGCAACTGCGATCAAGCAACGAACTGTGACAATCTTGGCGACGGGGGCAAAGGTGTCGTGAAAGTCAATGCCAGCAATTTGTGTGAAGCCCTTCGCAACAAGTCGTGCCTTATAACGATCCACCTCACCATTGGGTTTAAATTTAATTTTATAAACCCATTTGCAGTCAATTGCCCGTTTTCCCGGGGGAAGTGATTGCAAATCCCAAGTATGGTTGGCCATCAAAGCGATTATTTCTTTTCGCATGGCCTCTCGCCAGTGAGCATACATGGCTGCCTGTTTGTAGGTTCGAGGCTCATCCGTTTGAGAGATGGCCGAGAGAAAAGCCATGTGAGGTGATGAAAAACGACTATAAGAGACATAATTGGCTACAGGGTATACCTCAGAAGAAGTGACCGGAGTAGTAGACTTTGTGACGACAAGTGACGGAGGGAGAGACGTGTCAAAATTGGCAAGTTTAATGGAGTTTTGGCGAGCACGGGTGCTACGACGAGGAGATGGCACTGGTGCTATGACTGCTGCTTCTTGTTCTTGATTAATAGAGACTGTTGGTGGGATTTCAGCATTGGAGAGGGTCCCATCGGACGTGATGGAGGGAACCGAACCAACCGGTGTGACTTGGTCGGAAGCGACAGGGGACATGTCAATTGTGGATGGAGGATTGTGCGCCATGGTTGCCAAGATGGGCGGCAGATGGTGTGGTGCTGTTGATGATGATATTGGGTAGGAAGCCCAATCATAATTTATGGATTGTTGAGGCGTGGAATGAGCAAGTGGGTTGGATTGCGGGCACTCTTGGAATGGAAAGAGTGACTCTTGAAAAATGACATCTCGTGAGGTGATGACTTTGCGAGTGTTCAAGATATATATCTTGTACCCCTTTTGACCGTGAGGGTACCCTATGAAAACACATTTGCTCCCCCTTTCATCGAACTTGTCTTTTACACGATGATTATCGTGAGCATAAGCCAAGCAACCGAATACCTTCATGTGATCATAAGTGGGTGATCGAGTGAACAAGACCTCATAGGGTGTACGATTTTGAAGCACCTTCGAGGGAATGCGGTTGATGATGTAGGCAGCGGTAAGTATGCATTCTCCCCAAAATTTGATTGGTAATCCAGACTGGAAGCGAAGTGCTCGGGCTACCTCCAAGATGTGACGATGTTTACGTTCCACGACTCCATTTTGTTGTGGGGTGTCGGTGCATGAGCTCTCGAGTAAGATCCCCTCCGTGGCATAATAATCTTGTATTTTATTGGACTTGAATTCCAATCCGTTGTCAGATCGGACTCGTTGAACAGTGACCCCAAATTGATTTTTGACCATATTGCAAAACGTTGGCAATAGTTCGCCAACTTCTGACTTGTGGCGCATGAGATAAATCCAGACACCTCGGCTGAAATCATCCACGATGGTAAGAAAATAATGTGCCCCAGACAAACTTGGAGTCTTGTAGTCACCCCAGATATCACAATGAATTAACTCAAACGGACGGATTGTCTTTATTGTACTTAATGCAAATGGTAATCGAGTTTGCTTGGCTCGCACACATGCATCACAATGGCCAAGTTTATTCGAAATATCCAAATGATTCATCACCGATAGATGTTGGAGCTTGCCCGATGACGTGTGTCCCAACCGTTGGTGCCATAAATTCATCGAATGAGTCTTCTGTGCCGCCAAAGCCATTCGTTGATTTGACACGTCTTCCCACACGTACAAGCCATCACAGAGTTTACTCACGCCAATCAGCTTCTTCGTTGATAAGTCCTGTACCACAGCGAAATCAGAGAAAAATGTTACGGCACAGTTAAGATCCTTAGTGAGTCTGCTGATGGATATTAAATTGCATTCGAATTTAGGAGCATTTAAAACCCCTTGTAGCTCCATTCCGTTTTTGAAACGAACGACTCCTGTGCCAATGATGGGCACTTTTGATCCGTTGGCCACTTTGACAAATGAAGCTGTGGAGCTTTCTTGTTTTCTCTGCAACACATGCTCATTAAAAGTGATATGATCTGTAGAGGCCGAATCAAGGGCCCAAGCCCATGTTGGATTACCAGTCATATTAGCTTGGTGCTTAATGGATTGGATTGGCCCGTCTGATAAAGCTTCTGGGCCCAATAGCTTGAGGAGGCGGCCCATCTGGTCTTGAGAGAGACCTAGCTGCGGATGAGGGAGGCTCTCCACCTGTGCCGCACGATGGCCACCCCTTCTTCTGTTCTCTCCGCCGTCTCCTCCCTTGGACCGTCGGTCTCTTTTGCTCCCCTCAGGCCAGCCGATAACTTCATAGCAGGTTTCCTTCCAATGCCCCATCCGACCACAAACGTCACACTTGGGCCGCTCACGTTGCTCGCTCAGCTTCCTTTCGTTCGTCGTCCCTTTTGTTTGGAAAGCAGCAGCTGATTCAGTGGCGGCTCGCGGCGGAGTTGCCGCCAAGCTCCTTCTCTGTTCATCTTCAAGGATGAGGTGGAAGGCAGACATCAGTGAGGGCATCGGTTGAATGCTGAGGATTTGGGTGGTGATTGTTCCGAAATCGCCGTTGAGACCCATGAGAAAATCATAAATCTGCTCCTTTTCTTTTGCTGCACACCAGGCCGCCTGAGAGCCGCAAGAACAAGGCGGCAGCGGGGAAATGGCGCGGAGCTCGTCCCACAGTGAACAGAGCTTTGAGTAGTAGCTGGAGACCGACATGTCTCCCTGACGAAGATGACTGACTGTTCGACGGAGCTCGAAAGCTCTGGTGTCACTCCCCTTTGCGAATCGATCTTTTAGATCTTTCCATATTCCGCAGCGGTGGTAGCGTAGAGAACGCTGCTCCGGATCTCTTTTGACATGGCTGTTTTGAGCCATCCGATGACCAGCGCATCACATTGTTTCCATGCCGCCACATCTGCAGAACCTTCGGCAGGCTTTGGGAAGGATCCATCGACGAATCCCATTTTGTTCTTGGCGAGCAGCCCGTACGACATATCCACAACCCACTCTCCATAGTTGGATGCGTGGAGAGGCTCGGCGACGAATGGATGGCTCGAGCTGTCGGATTGCGGAACAAAGAAAGGCGACATTTGATCGGGTGCTTTGCCGGTGACAACGGCACGAGACGTTTCCTCTGACATGACTTGCGAGGTAAACCTTGACTGGAATTGACAAGAAAGAATTTAGCTTTGTGTTTTGCGGAATTGTTAGGATCTCCGCTCTGATACCATGAAAGAAATGGAAGAAGTGTTCTGTTTTTGTATATTGAATCACTTGCTTGAATGTACATAAACACAAGGAAATTTATACAAGAAAGCTACAACTGTCGGTGCTGAAGGAAAGGAAAGAAACATTATCTTGGTTTATCTAGTAATTAAGGAGAATGGGTTTCTGACGTTCACATGGAGAGGTGTGGCATGGAATTGAATGTTGTTTGTGGTTGATGGTTATTGCAGGCATGAGCTGTCCGTGAATGAATGGAGATTATGATACTCTAATAGATTCCGGTATGGATTCGATGTTGATGATTACAACAATAAGACTGCATCCACGAAGGCGACGAAGCATCTGCCAAGGAGGACAAGCAGGAGATATGCCGGATATCTGAGCTCGTCGGGGAAAGATGGAGTCGACATTGACACCTTAATGAATGGTTTACTTAAGAATAAGCTTGGGATCATCCCTGAAAAGCTTCAGTTAGTAATTACTAGATTATTATTATTATTATCTCTTTAAAAGAACAAGTTATATTTTACTGTTTGGTAGAGTCACTTCCATTGGTGCACTCTCCAAGATTTTTGGCAGTCTCCAGTCCCTTCTCATTCCATCTGACAGCAGAGACTTTTCTTCCTCAGCTCTCTCTTTTGGCTTTTCTTCCTTGGTTCCTTCACCAGCGGCCACGGGTTCTCCTCTCTCCCCGACTCTTCCCACTCTGGCTACCCATCACCATCAGTCCATCACAATCTCCCTCTCTCCCTCTCTCTCATTGTTAAAGACGAAGAAGAACTTTTTCAAACCAAAATCCCTCCATCTCTCTCCATCGTTGAAATAAGGAAGAAGAGGAGGATGTTGTTTACGGAGAAGATGAACAACAATGATGCTGGTGGAATGGCCAGGATGCCGATGGCAATGGCAAGCCTCCACTCTTGCCCAAAGAAGAAGATGAAGAATTGGCGTAGATCGACGGAGGGGAGGTGTGTAAAGGACCAACGGGGAGAAGGTCGGCGAAAAGCTTTTAAGTTCGTTTCTGGGCCAGGGGAACAGCAGAAGGTCCTTTCTGACTTACCTGATGGGGGAAGAAAGGCTGCGAATGGAATAGCGGGAAGAGATGTGAGTTTCAGGTACGTGATGAACTTTATATCTTTCTCATTTTCTTCTCTCTATTCCCATTGGAGTTTAGTCATGCCTTTTTTTGGTTTCTCTGGCTAGGGTTTGTATGATCAGGAACAAATCAATCTGGGTGAAGTAAGTCTGAATTCCATCCGACTCCCGCCCATCCTGCCCCTCTCTGTGCATGCTCCTTCGATCTGCAAAGATGGACGTTGCATCACAGCGCTCAAAAAACCCGTAGCATTGGCCATTGGTTAGTGGAACTGCAGATTCCCAGATTTTTTTATTATCTCTAGAGCTATCTATCTGGTTTCATTTCAGTTTATGTCATTTAACTTTTTCTACTGGTTTAGCCCTATTTTTTATTTTGTGTTCGGCTAGGTAATTTATCTTTTTACTCTGGTGTTTGTTTCCGTCTAGCCCTGTGATATGGGATGGGTTAGGAGAACGCAAATAAGGAGTTGTTTGCTGTTGAATTGGATTTGCCTCGTTGAATAAGCACATCTTCCCTGTTCATATATGCAAGTAAGGTAAGACTTAGGTCTTCTTTGTTTCATTGTTTCCATCTTTTTTAATGATATGGAATTGGTTGGTGGGTGTTGTGGTATCTCAGGAACATAAATCATTTGTATGGTAGGTTGTGGATATGCAATGTTAAGAAACTTGCTTATGTCTTGGACGAAAAGGGTTGATTTCCTTCCATTCGAGACTGGTTGCTGGTTTCTTATACGAAATTGTGCTGCCCTGAATTCGAAGATTATGAGAAATGGGGCCAGTACACTGGAGCTTTCCTTACGTGGTGGCTATGTGGTGTTACTTTCGGTTTCATGTAACTTCTCGCTATCCTCTGTTACAGATTCAGTAATTGATGTCGTTAAACTTCCTTAACCAATGCACATGCAATGGAAAGATTCTCTGCCATCCCAGAGCAGTGTTTTTGAAAAGATATGTTTCAGAAGCATGCTTGCTGCATTAGCTATGGGGATGATGAATCAAACTAATTTCGCGATTTTATATAGTTATACTCTTACTTTTCAGGTTGCTTATGTTCTGGTCCAGTTACAAAACTAAGCTACTTCAAAGTTTTGTCGGTTGCTTACTGTCATTATGCGTGATGGTGAATTTCAGTGGCATCCCATTTTGGTAATCGATTGCTTTCCAGTTAAAGTGCCTTAGCTATTTACGCTTTCAAATTTTATCTTTTGAAGAAAACATGCTATTTTGCCTGACACAGTTCCATTTGATTTGCCCAGCTACGCTCTTGGACCATATAAAGTACTTGCTGCATGAGATTAAACTTTGGAAAGGGAGAGGCTAGCTTGAATATCTTTTGCCATTACCTCTGTTTTTTAACCCTTCTGTTATAATTAAGAAAGAAAAATGTTAGCTTCCTACTCCTCTTTACCATGAAGTTAGCTGAATGAGTTCTGAAATTTGGTTTGTTAGAATTCAGATGCAATTTTCTCCCTACTCTTACTCTAACTGAAGTTAGTTGAATGCCTCAGAACCAATACTTAGATATTGGACAAAATACGATGTTATTTTCCCTTCTAATCAATACCGTCTCTGGTTTCTCGGTAGGGTTAACTTATCTCAATTGCATTTATTTTCGTACTTGAACTTTCACAGCACTTTAGTTATCAATGAGTTGTTTTTAACTCAAGCTATGTTCCTACCATGTCAACGACAGCTTAATACGAGCACCAAGTAATTGTGCTCTCTGTTGCTTTCAAACACAGTTGATTTGAATTTACTGATTATATTAGGTGCTTAACTTAATCCTTTTAATATCTTAAATAATCCTTCCCGGTGGTTGGTTTTTTTTAATGTAAATTTAGTGTTTGATTACAACTTACACATTCTCAAATGTTTACCGACAAACAATTATGCATGTATTATGTACCATTTAAAACAACGGTGGAGTGGAGGTTGCCTTCTCAAATCTTGCCACCCATGGCTGTGATCATTGTACAATGTGGTTCCACTTAGAATGCAGCCAAAGTCTACCTCAGACATCACTAGCCAATTTAAAATTGTTTGTTTTGTTGTATGGCCTTATGAAACTCAGATTGTTCTCTGTTTCAAGGAACAATGGATTTATTATAACCTAAAAGGAAATACAGTAGGAGCAGCAACTACTATGACAAATGGAAAGTCCCTCCTTTGAACCAAGCCCTCATTTGTCGGGAAGTCCAATTTACTATCCACCAGCCAATGACTCTTGGCATATCTAAGGTATTCTAAAAATATATGGGTCCAAATATATCTGATTTAGATGTATTCGCTGGGTTTGAACAACAGAATTTGAATCGTAATGGGAGCGGTGCATACTTCATTACTAAAGTCATTATTTTTGCGGATCATATGAAAGGAGTTCTACAGGTTCTCGCTTCTTCTGAATGCACTCAATAGTTAGCTAGGCCATTATCTTAAATGTATGAAGCATCTTCTTTTGATTTCTGTTTGAATTAGCGAGCAGATGCATGCTACTTTGTTAACAAAATCCTATTTTTTCTTACAAACATATGCTTGGTCAACATTGCTTGATGGACAATAACACATGAGGTGTTGTGAATAACCCAAACCAATGTAAAACAACTATCATGGAGATGCTTAGAGCAATACAAAGTTGCATTCATCATGTTTCTTAAGGATTGATTGCGAGGCAGCAACCAAGATGAAAAAATTGCCACAAGTTTGTGTTCTCCTACCAATACTAACAACTGGGCGTCCGTCAGAATCCAAACCAATGTAAGTATTTTGTTATAAACACAACTGCTTTTTAGTTTGTATTCTCCCACCATTCTTAGTGCTAACCGGTTTTCAAAATAAAAAGTATGTCACTTATAGAAAGTTGCCTTCTGTTGTTTATGGGTTAAGTGGTTTCTTGCATTGATTTTGTTTCAGCTTTATGCTTTCCATCTTGAGTCAAGGAAACATGTACTTCATTTTGATGCTTATGAGTTGGGAAGGATCTATGTCCAAATTAATCAGGTTTGTCGAACCATCATTCAGTTGACCTCAAATATCCCCTGGTTCATACTTTTCTTGGGGTTGCACTGTGGATTTGGTAATCAATTCGGAAGTCTAATTCATATTTCTCTCTTTTGCTAAACTGTTGGTCCAGCTGGCTGCAGAGTTATAGGTTTTATTCTGTTGGCTCGAGGGGCAATGATAGCGACGAACTGTGACTGACTCTTTGGGAAGTTCAGGGATAACTCTACTCTCTCTTTAGAACATTAACGAAGAAGAAGAACGCAACGGTGCCTTAAGTCACCGCTGGTGAGAACCCCCTCACTTCTTTAGTCTCTGTTTGTTTGATTACTTTCAGTGAGGAACCCTAAAATACAAATTAATGCTTGGGAGTCTTGGAGCTTGTTTGCTTTGTTTGTTTCCAATTGATTGGATTATACATAGAGATTAATATTACAGCTTTATATGAGATTCCAAATCAAGCAATATGCATCAATGTAGTTTACATTGCTTTTAGTTTGTTCTTCTTTGCAATTCTGAAGCCCTCATATTTTTAGATTCCTATAAGTTTGTTTCATAATTGGAACTATATATTTTTTGAAAATTTGCCTTCATGTTCACACCATAGCTCGGTGTCATAAAGAACAGCTGAAGACCATTTGATAGCTTATGGTGTGGTGTCAAGTATGACTACTGCAGAAACATCTCTTTTATGAGCAGCCTCATTGTCATTGATCGTCATGCTTAGGGAAGCAAGCCAAGGATGTATTGTTGAGGGGACTGATTACCCGGTTCTTTGTATGCCTCTTTCTATCTGATCTGAGGTTTTGGTGTCTGTTATATACATGGCTCTTTTTTTGAGTTTGTAGTTTCCATCGATATCAGCTTATCACTCCTTCAATGAAGTTGAAGGATGGTAGTATGGGTCATTTAGATATTGTAATCAAGGTTGATTTATATACATGAGTTGACTGCTGCCTGTATGTCCTAGATTTGTCAACCTCTTCTTCAAGTTGCTTTGGTACATTAATGAAACCAAGTTTTGCATAAAGTTTTGGGTCATTTCAGAAACATGTAGGGGTAGAAACCTTCTTAGTCAACAGAGCCTGCCAAAACTAGGTTCATGTATGTACTGTTTCAAAAAGTACGTTGGTTTTAAAGTTTTTGGCATTTTCTATTAGTTACCCTCTTAATAGTGATGAAGTGGCACCTTATGGGATATACGAGTTGCCCTCCTGCTGCATGCTCAATTATCTGAGCCATTTTTTAGAGCTAAAATACATTTGTTATGCCTTTCCGGTCATAGGTCATTCAGATTGTTTTACTATATGGCCTTGCTCACTTGGTGGCGCTAACGACGGAGAAAATCTCTATAACGTCATGAGAAGGTTCAAGTTTTAACATTCCACTTCCTCGGCGAGACTCTTATTCAGTGTCACTTGATGGTATGATCCCACCTATGCATTTATGTTCCCTCTCCTTTGTCTTATGTTCACAGTTGATTTGATCGTCGTTCGAGTATGCTGAGAACTTTTTCTTCTTTCTGTGAATCTGGGTGTGGTTTAGCCATACCTTTTCCTCTCTTTATGTTTCCCATATTTTTCCTTTCTTTTGTGATTCATTTAGTCTTTCTTGGGGTTTCCTTTGACAGGTATTGCCCCCTTCCACGAATCTAGGTTTTGTATATAATAACCTGTTTATGTTCTCGATCATCTTAACTATTCATGCCTTTTAAATGGTCAGCTAGGTTAGCTTCACCATCTGCTGTTATTGATATGAATTCAATTTTGTAATGCCATATAGAAAGTAAGGAATTTTTAGTCGTTGCCCCGTGCACTAATTTTTATTTAGGTGTATTTTATCAGTGATTTATGAATGGAGGCTGTTGTAAAAGGCGGGTTCATGTGATTTTATGAGTTCAATTAGAACAGTCATATTAGATTTTCTTACTTAACATTGGGGAACTATGAAGTGTTCAATTAGTTTTGTTGATTTCTTTTTGTTATATTAAAGCTTTGTTTGGTTGTTTTCAGTGAGGAAGCCACAATATACAAATTAATGATTGGACTTGGAGCATTGTTTGCTTTAATTGTTTCCAATTGATTGGATTATACATAGAGATTAATGTTGTGCGCTACTTTAAATCAGCCAACATGCATCCATATAGTTTTGGTTGCCTTTAGTTTGTTCTTCTTGCAATTCTGAAGCCCTCAA